AAGGATGACGACTGTAGTGTTTCTACACACGGATGTATGTCAATTTCTCTGCTTCCTACAAAGAAGGCTCGTCCTGAAGTTTTTGAAAGTTCTGCAATCTTCGATCTCTTCCCTTTTAATTTTAGATAACAGCTGTTGAGTTGTCAGGTGTTTTGGGCCCTGCGAGATTGGTAAACTTTCAGCAATAAACCGTTGAACAATGAACAAAGATTCCTCCTACCACTGACAAAAACAGCTGGCAACCATCTGAATAATTTTCAAAGGTGGTATGTAAAGTAAAGGGTGACTGTGCGAAATGATTTCTGAAAGTGGTATGTGAAGTTTATCGTAGCTCCGATGTTTCCCCATAGATCTCCTCAAAATTTTGAATTTTCTGGGGGCACGCTCTTCTTTCTACCGCCATCTATTCGTTGGATGAAAGAGGTAACAAAAAATGAGAGAATCATTGGCACTGTGCTCCCTTCACTAGGTCAGTTCCAAAATTCTGGTCAGAACTTCGAGTTACCTGGAAATTGGTCTATGGAGCGAGGGGGGCTTGACCCCTTGAAATGAATATCACATTCGTTTGCCACAAAACCACTGGTGGGGGAGAGGTGTAGGCGCCTTGATTATCAGGAATGATCTCAGAAGTTGACAATTTCTTCCATGTACCAGGTCATCTCATTTAAAAAACTTGGAGGCATATAAAGGAATGGCAGGAGAGCAGAGGCCATGGCTGTGGGCTTCTGAATCGTTCAAAAGCTGGTACCTTTAGCTACGTATTTGTGAAATTCGGCTTGCCTAGCCACAGAAAAGAGTCCACAGAAATTGAAAAGAAACCCGAGTGGTCAAAACCAGCGCCGGATTATGGAAGATGGTCACTCAAGGGAAGTGCGCTGCTCAAATTCATCCCGTGCCGGACCAGTAGTTGCGTATAATGGTGGATAGAACGTGGAAGATTTGATTAAGAATTCCAAAGAGGGACAAACGAAAAAAACTTCTGGGCGAGGAGTACCCCATAATGTTCATCGTGCACAGGAAGATGAAGTCAAGCACTCATGCTGACACCCCTGCTGCAACCGCTGGACAGCTCACGCCCGAGAAATTGGGGATAGTTCAGCAGGCGTATGTATAGATGCCTTATTCTTGTAGATGCACGCAGATCCGATCTGGTGCCCGCAGCAGCTGTTTCCTCCGCCTAAAACGTCTTCAACGACTCCGAAAGCGTACCGTCGCCCTAGACGAAATATAATCTTGTACTCCGAGCCGAAACTCACAAGCCTCAATTCTTTATGGATGCAGACGAGAAGCCGCCCGACATCTGTCATCGAAAGTTACGTGGTCCAAACGGATGAACCTTTATTCCAATAGGTTCTTCATGCGGCTTCAAGCGCTCTATACCAGAAACAGAATCGCCTTTGTCGATGTATATTACCTGTTCCTCTACAATCAGAACGACAAATGGATGGTACCACGCAATATAGGAAGACCACTATTGCTCGTCACCGTGTAAAGCACGAGAACCGTATATATTGGGCAGTGCTCGATCACAAACTGAAGGGTTAAAGGCAAAGCCCGCAATCATATATTCTGGGTAGTGCTTGAACTAGCGATGCCAAGATGCCAACAAAGTTAATAGTGCAGAAAAAAAAAACAGAAAAAAGTGGTCTCAAACGCCCCTAATAAAATCCCTCTGCGAGCACACTTGTACCGAGCAGAGCAAGACAAGAGAGTGATAGACCGGAATCACCGGCAATCCTGTTGAGTCCATGCGGTGCGCCATTGATCATAGTGATTTCTATTTGCGCAATAATTCTCTGCCAATGCTTCTTCCAGCAGCGTCTTCTGTCACTATTGAATAGCAGAGCGGGGGGGGAGGGCGGGGGTGGGGGCAGGTCAATGAAAACGGGTCAAACCAATGAGAGGAACGACAATGGCTCCGCCTTTCTCCCTTTGCGCCGCAAAAATGGTGCCATCGCCGCCTCTGGGGCCTTTCTTCCAGCTCACGAAGGGAAGGCAGATGTCGTATGCTCGACAGGCAGCAGTTAAATCGTCTTATTCGCTTAATCTACAGCCGCGCAATTTCACCTGTTCCGGTCAATTGGAGATACTGCTCAAGGGCAAACGGTACGGACAAGTCGTCGATCTAACTGCATTAACGCCACTTTACTCCACTTGCTGGAAAAACGAATGGTGCAGTGCCAAAGGCGGTACACTGGGAGATGGTCAGTGATCAAAAGAGATTAGTCAGCTTATTGTCAAAGTATTACTCTTTCATCTGTTTTCTACTTCGTTTCGGTTGAATAAACCTTCCACGTTTTTGAATGAGATGACCTAATACCTTGACATCTGATGCGACATAAACTTTGATGGTGGGCGCCATGAACGAAGGCATCCTTCTTATTCTGCAAAGTGAGAACTTTGATGCTCACCCTGCATGTACAAGGAACATAGTTACCGTTACCTGCCCATGACCGCTTGCCTGCCCTAGAATCATCTACTGCCCTCACCCCAACAGTTGGAGCATCTCTTCACCCTTCTGCCGATTCCCTCTCCGTACTGGCAGGCCATTTCGGAGAAGTTAGTGTGCCCATACCTGTAAATTTACCCCGTTCATCACAAAAGTAACGTAAAAGCGTCCAAACAGATCTCACTAGGGAAGGTTACCAGGTCGAACTGCTCATTTGGAATGAGATGTAGCTCACGGAACGGTTTTGGACACTAATCCCAAAGCTGCCTTCGTAATTTGCAGAACGATTCTCTGGACGGAGTTATGAAGCTTTTTCCTCCGCAATTACCACGCAACAGCGATATGATTCGGATCCTGCTGAGTCTCAACTTTTTGTTTTCATGCGAAAAACAGATGCAAAAAAAGTGCTTAGTACCGTCAACTAACTACATTAGCGCTCTGATAAACTTGGGCCTAAAAAACTTCGTTCGCTTACTGCGCCTTGTGCCTTGTCAATCTAGGAGACTTTGTGCGATGTACAGGTTGCCCTTGCGCCACAGGCAGGCGTTTTCGCGCTGCAGGAGTGCCCATTTCAATCGTGTTTATCAGCGGATCGCCCAGGAGGTTTCTATCCGATCTGCATTTTGACCTGACTTCCAAAAGCGAAGCACCATTTGGGCCGGCTATAGTTCAGTTTGATGTTCACACCTATTCATCTGCAGATACATTCTCCTGCACAACGCCTCGTCTTGCCACCTCTTACTCAATCATTTGTTACTGCTCCATTTTCCTGATATCTCAAAGCAAATTCCGTCCGAAGACAAGCAATCGACAAGAGACTGGCCCTGGAACTATTGGTGACCATCATTCGATCAACTGCTACCGCACTTTTCAAAGTTAGGTCAAAACCTCACATCTGGCTAGAAACCTGTCCCAAGGGTAGTTTTGCTCCCTGAACACGAATATGGCACCCATTTGGCGTTTGAGTGTTTTCTAGACTTAAAAGAGACATTCCCCACAAATGCAAAAAAAGTTTTCCCTCCTTAAAAATCGGACCTCCGTGTCACGCCCAAGAAGCAAGACCGTTACCACTCACGATGAGTGTAGAGGGGCTTCGCGGATATTCATGCAAATTGGCTGGCAACCGCGCTCGACTCCGTGTCCCTTCATTTTAATTCTAATAAACCTTCATAATTCCTTTCAGAGAATCGTTCTGCAAATTTCGAAGGCAGATTACCAGTGTTCAAAAACAAGTCCCGTGATATACGTCTCTTTACATCTCTTTACAAATGGCCACTTCGATCTGGCGACCATCCCGAGTCAGAAAAAATAGCGTCTGAAAAACCAGCGAAAAGAAATGGGTTGACGATCTGCTTTATTAATCATAAGTGTCATGGATAAATCACAGACCTTCACATAAACACGTAAAAAGTTTGAACGTCTACAAAAATGGAGAAAAATCGAACCCAAAAATTCATCACGGAATAGAGAGGAAGTGAAGTGATGAAGGATGCTCACAACTAAAGAGATATGTTCGATGTCCACAACCGGTTCAAAGAAACAACAAAGGCCTCAATGCAGAAAGAGACGCGAAACAGAGCAATGATGTCTATGGGAAAGGCACGAGCAAATCCCCGCTAGTTACCATGTCATCAACAAGGAGTCAATAACCAATAACTGTGAGAAAGCTACAACAATAGTTTCTAAGAAGTTTTCCTAGCTAATGTTTTTTCTTGGCGTCAACCTCCTTCACATTTCCATCGGGATAAGCAAAATATACCTTGTCAACTACATCAATGAATAGACCTGTTTCCACTATACCTGAAATGGTGGACATAAGTGTTCAGCTTTTCATCCATCCGCGATTGCAGAATTTGACTGCGCAAATATTATTTGGTGCAGACTCTGTGACAGAGCGAAAGGAGTAGTTCAGTAATTCAGAGTGAAGGCAAGGTGGCGAAAGCCGGTGCAAACGTTGCTGAAGTATCGTTACTCTCGAGTCGCGGCGTAAGCAGCATTCGCATCAGGACCCAATCAACTGAACGTGGCAGCGCTGCGTTGTGACAGATTAACCAACTAAGAAATATTCTGCTAGTTTTCGCGCGATGTCGTGACTCGGGACTAACGATACTCAGTAGTTTCAGCTTCCGGGACAGTAGATAAAAATGGGAGGAGATCCAAGCCTCGACGCTGCCGTCCTGTGACACCTGTCTCACCTGGACAGATTCAAACGAATGAACATGGCACACTAATGCATGAGGTTTCCCATTTTAAGCTACTATCCAGGGCGCTGACCGCTCCAATCTCTGAGTATACACAGCTGAGAGTAAGCGACGCAGGCGTCAGTTTTTCATCTGTCGAGGCTACGGCACGTTGACTTCGACCAGCGTGCACTTGCACTAACCAGCCTTACTACACATGGAGCCACAAGGCACAGCCCTACCCCAACTACTCTTCCACTCAAAAGAGACATTGCGTGTGTACCATGAGCGCTGCACTCACCCTAAGAGCAGCAGTGAGTTGAGGGCATATGGCACGATAATTAATACCCGTCTGAAGATGCTGGCAAGGTGTTTCTATACAAAGGGGGGGAGAATGGCGAAAAAAAAAACGAAGCGAAAACGCGATTAAAAACGTCGAGGAAGCGATTCATCTACATAAATAGAATTCGACGAGTTTCCCGTAGGCACGCGTGCCAAGACCCGCTACTAGATACCTACTATTCAGGTGCAGGCACCGCGGCCGTTTCACATCAATCGCTTCGCTTCTTTTTACTTCGCAAATAAAGCAAATAAATACGAGCACCAGGTGCAGTTGTCCATTCATACGAGCGCGGTTGAAGCCCCCCCTTCGGGAGTCGGTAGTTGCAGCATGATAGGCGTATGAGGTCCCTTCCGAAGGCCGCCACGGCAGCGCACTGCTCAGGGCGGCATAATTCCTCCTGGAAGGCGTTATGAATCCCACTCGTGCTTAACGAGTTATCGTGCCAACAGCCTTTAACGGGTGATGCTACAATATTTCGAGTCGCCAGCTAGGAGATACTCCGCTAGTCTTGCGCGATACCGTATTTTCGCGACGTAAAAGAACTACTCTCCAAGTGAAGAACCAGGAACAGTCCACGAACTAAAGCAAGCTTCGCGTCTGTTCGGTCGGACATTTCATACTCAATATACTTTCAAATATCCCTCACGAACTGTCTATCTGTCTCTACGATCTCTCGTGAAAATCCGTCACAGTACCATCCCTTCTACGATCCAAACATTACCAACAGAAATTCTCCTTCTATTGTTGTAGATGTTTTAAACAATTACCTTTAGGTCCATATCTTACCTGGTGTGTTAGCGAGTCTGAGTTGGATTTCTTTCCAATCATGTGGCTTATTCTTCTCGAATGCCCAATCAATGATGTAGTTGTTGTTATCTGTTATCACGGGTCCACACTTATTCGCTGCCATCCTCATTTGCGCAGTGCCACCTTCTGTTCGCGGCAGAGAGCGCGCCACACATGAAGCAGCAAACGGTAGAACCTTAACAGGAAATCAATCTATGACTTAATGAAATATGCTTAAAGAAATATGACCATGCGAAATTTAGCTCTATGAACACGAACTTGGACAAGTCTGTCGCTGAACGGATGTGGGGTCTTGTCAGCCCAGCAGCAAGCGTTTGGCGGCGCGCCTAACCTATTATATTTTTTTTTCAGGCAGCGTCCACACCTATCGCATCGTTTCTGTCAGTCGTTTCCACACTCGTTGCACTTAGAGGTAGCAGCTTAATTGGGAAATGGGCTTAAGCGGGCCGAACGTCATATGCAGCCGCGCGACATGCCTCATCATCCGCGGCGAACCAGACTGTAGATATCTCTCAAAGAGATAATATCAACTTGTCCCAAAAGCTTTGTGACGTTTTCGAATTATTCTTTACGAGTCAAATTTATTACAGTGAGAAGCAACTTCGATCAACAATATATGTTTTCTCACAAACTTCTTCTCCCACTTGGAACTTGTTGTCGGCACCAAGTAAAAGAGTGCGTTCCTCGCTTTCCAGAAACTTTTAGTTCTGCTGTCCACAAAGGCAGCTGGGTCATTTTGAAATGGTTTGAAAATCTAATTTTTTTTAAGCCCAAAGTGGCCGCCGAGGTGATAGCTTTAGATGTCAGTCAGAAAATAGCCAAAGATCAGGGGCTATCCCGAAAAGCTGCTGGAAATTCAAAAACTAAAGACTCAAGATCCGTGCATGTCACTTCCAAACTGAGGACCCTGAGCTGATTGTGAGTAGGCAACATTGCGGTTGTGGACCAAGATGATGGGATTTTCATCCTCCCTTCAGTTTAATTATAATAGGACTCGCTGGTTACCACAGCTCTGAAAGGAAGACTTTCCCTGCCGTAAACCCATGATTGGGTCACCACACGCACAGTATCACCTTATACTGTACTGAGGGGTTGCACGACCGATCTGCCAGTCCTGAAGGATCTAGACACTGGCGCTTGCGGGAGTGGTCCCAGAGATCTACACCTTATCGTCACAGTCGTTGTTCAACCGGATCCTTGCCACGGTGGCGCAAGCGGAGAGAATTTAGCTGTACCCACAAGCCCTTCCCCTTGAGTATCAGTCAACTCCTTTCTTAATAGAAGTGAGACCCCTGTCTTTTGTGCTTTTGAGGCAGTCAAGTGTAAGGATTAGTTAGCGAGTTGATTCGTACTTAAATGGTTTCAATCAAGGGACGCAGTAAGTGAAATCCGAAGCCAGACGGCCTCTCTGGACGAGGTTTGTCTCCCAAGTAGAAGTCACTAAAGCGGAAGCCACTGGGCCATTTCAACGCCGTACTGTGGAAGGCAGCATCAAACCTAACAATCACAGCAAACACCAACCAGGTTGTGACTTGGTGGAAATTCATATAGCGAAGTGTGACGAAAATGATGAATTTCATCTACCGTTTTGGATATGAGAACAGCGACTGCGAGGGACGGTAAAGCAACTGTGGGATGCTCAAAAAAATTCAGCAAAACTACAAAGTATACAACCGATCCCATTCAACTGCAAAATATGGAGTGATACTAATGGATCAATTTTCTGGAGAAAGGGGATCTGCCTTCCAAAGAATCATAATTGAAACTCACTTCAATAGGTATGTGATTGAAATGGTCCCCTAGATTTACTGATTCCTTTGAACTATCTGCGATGACCTGAAATAGGACAACAATTGAATATCCGAGTAACGTTCCAGCATCCTTTCAAATAGTACAATATTCAGTATAAACCTATTTTAGAAACAATAGAACTCAAACAAAAACATACAAAGAATTTGCGAGAGGCATGCTGGACAATTTTCTCCCTAGCGAGACATCCGCCGCCACCTTTAATACACGTGAAGTTGGCGTCGATCTGAATTCGTGATTTCAGAGGGCACAGTATTCTGGAAACGCTGTGAGATTTTGAACGACATAAGGAAGAGTTTAGATTGTAACAATTCTGAACAATAACAATTCATGCCCAAAAATACACCGTCACTGACAGTCATCCATATGTACGCAGGAGAATCAAGCGCGTTTAAAGGCAGTTGGCACGATAAATCCCCAAGACGAGTAGGATTAATACGCCTGGCAGGACGGAATTCCGCGACCCTGAGCAGGCGCTGCATAATGCCTTCCCAAGGGAGGTGCCCTTATAAGGGCCCTATCAAGCCACAACATTCCGACCCAAACGCCCGCCACGCCCGCCCGCCCACAAATGGACGACCGTTCCTGACGCTCTAATCGATTCATTTGCTAAGCAAATTATGAAGCGAAGGGATTGGTATGAAG